GCCTGGGGATAACCATAGCTAACCAAGCCTTAACCATAGCCTAACCACATGCCTAACCATAGCCTAACCACAGCTAAACCACAGCCTAACCACAGCTAACCATAGCGAACCATAGCCCTAACCAGAGCTGACCATAGCTAAGCCCACAGCTAACCAGCAGCTAACCATAGCTAACCATCAATGCCTAACCATAGCCTAAGCACAAGCCTAACCACAGCTAACCATAGCTAAGCCACAGCTAACCGCAGAGCCCTAACATAGTAACCACAGCTAACCATAGCTAAGCCACACGCTAACACAGCTAACCATAGCTAACCATAGCCTAACCAGCAGCCTAACCATAGCAACCTAAGCACAAGCTCTAACTAGAGCTAACAGAGCTACATTAGCTAACCACAGCTAAAACAATAGCTAACCATAGCTAACCATTAAGCCTAACCTACAGCTAACACAGCTAACCATAGCTAACCAGAGCTAACCATAGCTAGCACAGCTGACCATAGCTAACCAGAGCTGACCACAGAGCGGTGACATAGGTGTCGGAGTACGCATTCAAACGTGACAAAGCGGTGAGACAGTTTCAGTACAAGCGTTCTGGCGTGCGAGGGTGACACGCCACATGCAACGACGCACTGCCAGAGAGCTGCCGAGTTTAAACGGAGAAATCCTTAAAAAGTTTACGTTATAATTTCGATGTCCCGCCGGGAGCAGTTGGAGCGAGATCTATAAACCGGAGCTTCGTTTCAGATGTCACCGACGCTCTACGAGTGTGAAACCTCTCTACATGCATCTCACAATGACATCACACAGACCAGTGTTTGTATGGATGACATCACAGCAGGGTAAGTGCAGGAGGAGAGAGGGAGAATGCAGGGTAAGCAGGAGGGGGGAGGGAGGATGCAGGGAGGTGGGAGCAAGACAAAAAACCTCTTCCCAGGGATAAAAATTAACTTTTGAACAAGGGTGTCCAAAAAGAGGAAATCCGCAGCAAAATGAGGGAGTCCGTAGTCGGAACTAAAGATGCAAGCTAAATAACGCATATTTTGAAGATTCATGCGGTTGCACGTCTGCCACATTTTCCTCGGACATTTGCTGAAAAAATACGGGTAATCCGCAAGGCCATGCTCTGGAACGAACAGTTGTATAGCAGAATTTTCAGGGAGTCACACTGACTCCTTCAGATGTCAAATCAGAGAGCCCGACAGTAAATCAGGGAGTATTTGACTCCGGACTCGCGTTAATTTCGCACCCTGTGACTTCTACATGCATCTCACAGTGACATCACGCAGACCAGTATCTGTATGGATGCCATCACAGCTGCGGTATTAAAGCAGGGGAGAATCTCGCTCTGGTCAGCTGTGGTTAGCTGTGGTTAGCTATGGTTAGCTGTGGTTAGCTATGGTTAGCTGTGGTTAGCTGTGGTTAGCTGTGGTCAGCTGTGGTCAGCTCTGGTTAGCTGTGGTTAGCTGTGGTTAGCTGTGGTTAGCTGTGGTTAGCTGTGGTTAGCTATGGTTAGCTGTGGTTAGCTATGGTTAGCTGTGGTTAGCTGTGGTTAGCTCTGGTTAGCTCTGGTTAGCTGTGGTTAGCTGTGGTTAGCTGTGGTTAGCTGTGGTTAGCTGTGGTTAGCTGTGGTCAGCTATGGTTAGCTGTGGGTAGCTATGGTTAGCTCTGCTTAGCTGTGGTCAGCTGTGGTTAGCTGTGGTTAGCTGTGGTTAGCACTGGTTAGCACTGTCAACTCTGGTTAGCACTGTCAGCTGTGGTTAGCTCTGCTTAGCACTGGTTAGCACTGTCAACTCTGGTTTCGTTTCGAGGTTCGTGCTTGGTGGGGATTGCGGGGGCGCAGTGACCGGGAGGCCGCCGGGGGCTCATGCAGCGGCTCCTGCAGCATAAGCGCATGACTTTACAGCACGTCGCTCCTCGTGCGAAGCCGCCTTAATGCGTTCCCGCCGAATCACCGACGGGATTACCCCCCCGGACACGTCAGCAAGGATTTCGACGGGGGCAATAACATGATGGATATGTTGATCTCGCGGGGCTTTAGAAGCCAGCCGACAGCGGCGACGGTACGGAGGCTGTAGAGCCCAAAGATTGTGTATGTGTGTGTGAGTGTGTGCGTGCGTGTGTGCGTGCGTGCGTGCGTGTGGTGTGCGTGCGTGTGTGTGTGGGCGTGTGTGTGTGTGTGTGCGTGCATGCATGTGTGCGTGCATTCGTGCGTGCGTTCGTGCGTGTGCGCGCGTTTTGTGTGTGTGTGTGTGTATGTGCGCGCACGCAGAGAGTTATCCCATCTGAAGGGCACCGGCTGTATATTAGATCTTGATGTAGCGGGAGCGCGTGGTCTCGGCAGCGTGTTCGTTAATCACAGAATGGCGGCAGCAGCGGCGCACTTGGACCCACTGCACTTGACAGCGTTATCGATTCGGGGACGCGGGTTTGCTGAGCGTCACCGAGAAACCCCTTTTGTTAATTGTCGAGTGTGGTATTAGTTTGCATTCGGCATTGATTGCTTTCCGGGCGGTGAGTAAATAGTGCTGTGCCGCCCGCAAACCCTCGTGGTAACGCTCGCCCTTCAATCCGATGTGGGGCGCTGTGGATGATTTCACTCGGCGCCTGATTGTTATCGATATTCCCTCTGTCCACATGTAATGCGGATACGCGACCATGCCAAAAATGTGCCGTCATCAACGATGCTGAGATTAAGTGAAGCTTCTTTATACACGTGACTTGCTAAGTGCGTGCGTGCGTGCGTGCGTGCCAGGATGCTGCGACGTGCGGATGCTGCGACGTGCGGACGCTGCGACGTGCGGATGCTGCGACGTGCTCGCGTGCGGATGCTGTGACGTGCTCGCACGCGGACGCTGCGAACGCGCGTTGGCGGCGCTAACGTTGTGGTTTGCGGACGCGGCGTCGGACATCGTCCGCGACGGCTTTTTCGCGGACGCTGCGACGCGCGGACGCTGCGACGCTTGCGACGTCGCGGATCGCTTGGCGACGTAGCGGATGCTGCGACGCGCGGGACGCTGCGACGTGACCTACGAGGGACGCCTCTAGTGCGGACGCGCTGGCGCGACGCTGCGACGCCGGCGGACGCTGCGTACGTGCGGATGCTGCGACGCCTGGCGTGACGCTGCGACGCGCGCCGACGCTGCGTACGCGCGGACGCTGCCGACGCGCCGGACGCTGCGACGTCCTCGCGGACGCTGCGACGTTCGGCGGACGCTGCGACGTCGCGGACGCTGCGACGTGCGGGATTGCCTCGACGCTTTTCGCTGGGGCCTTGACGCTGCGACGCTTGTGCGACGTGTTGTGGCGGACGCTGCGACCGCTCGCGGACGCTCTTGCGACGCGCGTGGATGTCTGCCGACGCTCGCGGATCCCGCTGCCACGCTGTCGGACCTCTTGCGCACTGTGCAGACGCTGCGACGCGACGTGCGGACGCTGGACGCCGCGGACGGCTGCCGAGCGCCGGCGGACCGCGTGCGACGCCCGGACTCGCGGGTTGCGACGTTCTGCTGGACGCGTGCGACGTGCGGGGATGCTGCGACGTGTGGACGTGTGCGAGTGGCGGACGCTGCGACGCCCTCTCCGGCGGGACGCTGCGACGTGCGGAGCCGCTCTCGCTATTGCGACGCGGCGGGGGAGCGGACGCTTGCGACGCCGTCGTTGGTCTCGTCCGAGCGGACGCTTGCGACGTGGACTCGCTGCGACGCGTGCGACGTGCGGACGCTTCTGCGTACGTGCGCGACGCGCGCTGCGACGTCTGGCGGATCGCTGCCGACGGCGGATGCTGCCGGCACGTCGCTGGACGCTTGCGCGCGCGACGCGGCCGAGCGCGCGGACGCTGCGGACGCCGCGACGCTGCGACGTGCCGGACGCTGCGACGTCTGCGCGATGCTGCGACGTGTGGGACGCTGCGACGCGCTGACGCTGCGCGACGCCGCGACGCGGTGCGACTTCGTGCGGCAGACGTGCGAAGCAACAGCGGACGGCTGCGGTACGCGGCGGATCGCTGGTTGCGACGTGGCGGACGCTGCGACGCTTGCGACGTCTTGCGGACGCTGCGACGTCGCGGGACGTGCCGACCGTGCGGCGACGCTGCGACGCTGCCGGATGTGCCTGCGACGTCGCGGCGGACGGCTGCGACGGCGGCGGGGACGCCCTGCGCGTCGCGGATGCGTGCGCGCGCAGGACGCTGCGACCGCGGACGGCTGCGACGTGCGGGACGCCCCCCCCCCCCCCCTGCCGACCGGCGGTCCGGGGCGGGATTGCTGCCCGACGTCCGCGGACGCTGCGAGCAGCGCAGGACGCTGCCGACGGTAGCGGATGCTGCGACCGCGGCGGGACGCTTCGACCGCTGCGGATGCTGCGACGCGCGGCAGGACGCTGCGTACGCTCTGTGGTGGCGGCGCTGCGACTGCTGTACTTGCTGGACGCTGCCGACGCTGGGATTGCTGCCGACGCGCGGACGCTGCGACTGTTTTGCGGCACGCTGCGACGTCGCCTCCGGCGAGTGTTCTGCCGGCGGACGCTGCCGACTGCGCGGCGACGCTGCCGACGCTCGCGGACGCTTTGCGACTCGCTCAGCACCGCGGATGCTGCCGCGCAATTCGGCCCTCCCCGCGGACGCGCGACGTGCGGACGCTGCGACGCCCCCGCGGGACGCTGCCGACTAGTTGCTCGCACCAGCGGTCGCTGCGACGCCGCGGACCGCTGCGCGCGCGCGGTGTCCGCGGACGCTTGCCGATCGCGCCGGCGGACGCATGCGCACGCCTGGCGACGCTGCCGATCGTTGTCCGACCCGGTCCTATCCACGCGGACGCTGCCGACGTGCTCGCGTTGTGTGCTGCGTGCGTGCGTGCGTGTGTTGTAAGTGCGCGGTGCAGCAGGGACATGGCATGGCTACCGGTAAGCGTGATGTTTCGTGGTGATGCGGGATGTGGGGGGTGATGGGGTGATGGGGTGATGCGGGAGTCGCATCATGTAATGTATGCCTTACATTTCAGATCACCACGCTCGTCAACCACAAGGAGAAGCCGATCGCGTCAGCGAAAACATGCCGTGCGATCGTGCGAGTGGGACAGGCTGCGAGCCTCGCCGTCGAAAGGCAAGTGAACGTCACATCATCGATGACTCATCGTCAGCGCGTGCTTCGTGGCTTCGTGACCCCATACCATCCCAGGGGTTAAAATTAGCATATATGTAGCATATATCGATACTTTTCCGTGCCGATCGGGTCTGCTGGCAGGAAAATTGATAGTACCCATTTTTCCCGTGGAAATGTTGTAACCTTTCAACCCACTCACCCCATTACTACTCCCTTGTAGGCAATCATTCCCCCCGGTGTCGAAATTTAATTTTTTGAGTGAGGCGCCTACTGGGTTATGTTTGATGGGAAAATTTTCAGGGTACTGTGGCAAGTTGGAGGGGCACAAGGGTAAACAGTTTCTTTGCAGAAGAGTTGTTGATATAACTTTATATAGGCACAGTGGGACAAAGTAGGTTACATGCACAATGCAGAATTTATGGGAAGGGCTTCATGGCAAAGCATGTAGGGCACCCTCCGTGGTTTAGTTCCATGTATGTTGTCCATGGGCACCACGAAAAATGCGGACGGTAAATGTGGTGCTTGTAAAATTCAGGGACCCTTGTCGCCTGGATTTTTACCTCAGCCAAAAAAACTCCATGTGCATGCTGCCGCTCCCTCCTCTCCCTCTCTTCCACATTGTGACTATCCCTCAGCGCATTGGAGGCGGCGAGAGTGTATCTGATTTTAAATTGTGTTCATATGATAAAAAATGTGTGATTAGGTAATGCCGTGAATATTTAATAAGTCGTGCATATGTAATTACCCTTCCGGCATTGCTCGATGTCCGTCTAGGAAGCGTTTGCGCTTCCGTAGAGTTAGCTTGCTATACACATGCGAGCTAATCCCCATCCCTCCCCTTAGGCCATCCTTAAAAAATTCTATGTTTGCTGTTCCCCGACCCATGATTTCTTTAGTAGGTAGGTAGGTAGGTATTTTTTTGTGAGGCATAATAGTTATTTTAAGTCTGTCCTCATGTTTGCCACACATGCTTTGTGTTTCAGTCTTAACTATAAAAAATAAAAAAATAAAAATGTAACCCAAAATGTAAAAAAAAAAATTTGAGTTGCGGCTATTTTCGTGGGTCAGTTGGAGGACAGCAAACATAATTTTTTAAGGATGGCCTTACACGCACGCACTGCAGGGCTTGATGCCGTGATGATTTCCCACGTAAACCCCCCTCTCCAGCGACTCACTGTCTGCTCATCATTCCTTGTATATAAGCTGAGCTGCTGTTACCCTCCTCCCCCTCTGTCCCTGTAATGGTTTCTCTCTAGGAACCCCATCCCCCCAGCCTGCTGTTTGCTAGCTTTGGTTGGAGGTTAGTGGGAGATATATCAGTGAGAGGAAGGCACGGGAGAGTACAGGCATGCCACAGTTATCAGTAAGAAGGGGGAAGTAGCAGCATGACACAGTTATCAGTGACAAGGGGGAAGTAGCATGACACAGTTATCAGTGACAAGGGGGAAGTAGCATGACACAGTTATCAGTGGTAAGGGAGGAGCAACATGACACAGTTATCAGTGGTAAGGGAGGAGCAACATGACACAGTTATCAGTGGTAAGGGAGGAGCAACATGACACAGTTATCAGTCAAGTGGTAGGGAGGAAGCACAAATGACACCAAAATTATCAGTGGTAAGGGAGGATCAACATGTCAGCAGTTATCAGTGGTTTTTAAGTAGGAGCAGCATGACCAGTTAATCAGTGGTAAGGGGAAGCACACTTATGACAGCAGTTATGCCAGTGTAAAGCGGAGGCAGGCAGCATGAATACAGCTTAGTCAGTGGTAAGGGAGGAGAACACATCGACACATTTATCAATGGTAAGGAGAGCAGCATGACACAGATTATCAGTAATAAAGGGAGGACAACATGACACAGTTATCAGTGGTAAGGGAGGAGCAAACATGACACAGTTATCAGATGGTAAGGGGGAGCAGCATGACCACAGATAATCAGTGGATAAGGCGAGGAGCAGCAATGACATAGTTATCATGGTAAGGGGAGGCAGCATACACACTTTATCATGGTAAGGAGGAGAACAAATGACACAGTTATCAAGTGTAAGGGAGAGCAGCATGACACACGTTATCAGTGGTAACGGGAGGAGCAGCATGACACAGTTATCAGTGGTAAGGGGGAGCAACATGCCACAGTTGTCAGTGGTAACGGGGAGGAGTCAGCCATGACACAGTTTAATCAGTGGTAAGGTGAGGAGCAACATGGACACAATTATCAGTGGTAAGGGAGGGGTAGCATGACACAGTTATCTAGTGGGAAGGAAGGACAACATGACACAAGTTGATCAGTGGTAAGGGAGGAGCATACATGACATAAGTTAATCCGTGGTTAAGGGAGGAGCATGGACACAGTTTATCAGTGGTAAGGAGATAAACATGACACAGTTAATCAGTGGTAAGGGAGGCGCAAACCATGACACAGTTTATCAGTGTAAGGAAGGAGCAAACCATGAACCAGTTATCAGTGGTTAACGGGAGGACAAGCATGACAATAGTTATCAGTGTAAGGGAGGAGCATGATCGACACAGTTATCAGTGGTAAGGGGAGAGCAACATGAACAGTTATCAGTGGTAAGGTAGGACGCAACATGACACAGTTTATTCAAGTGGTAAGGGAGGAGCAACATGACACAGTTATCCCAGTGGGAAGGTAGGAGCAAGCATGACACAGTTATCAGTGGGTAAGGGAGAGCAGCATGACACAGTTATTCAGTGTAAGGGAAGGAGCAACATGAACACATGTTATGCAGTGGTAAGGGGGGAGCAACATGACTACAGTTTCATGTAAGGGAGGAGCCACATGACAACAGTTTATCAGTGGTAAGGAGGAGCAACATGACACAGTTATCAGTGGTAAGGGAGGAGCAACATGACCCAGTTATCAGTGCGTAAGGGAGGAACAACATGACGCAGTTATCAGTGGTAAGGAGGAGCAACATGACACAGTTATCAGTGGTATGGGAGGAGCAAACATGACGCAGTTATCAGTGGAAGGGAGGATCAGCATTGACAGCAGTTTCATGTATGGGAGGAGCAACATTACACAGTTATCATGGTACGGAGCGCAACATGACGACAGTTATCAGTTCAAGGGAGGGGGCACATGACACAGGTTATCATGTACAGGGAAGAGCAACTGACACATTAGTCATGTAAGGGAGGACAAACATGACACAGTTATCAGTGGTAAAGGGAGGAGTCAACATGACCACAGTTATCAGTGGTAATGGAGAGGCAACATGAACACAGTTATCAGCTGGTAAGGGAGGAGCAACATCGAAAGCAGTTATCAGTGGTAAGGGGGGAGCAACATGACACAGTTATCAGTGGTAAGGGAGAGCAACATACACAGTATCAATGTAAGGGGAAGCAACATGAACAATTATCAGTGGTAAGGGAAGAGCAGCATGACACAGTTATCAGTGGTAAGGGAGGAGCAGCATGACACAGTTATCAGTGGTAAGGGAGGAGCAGCATGACACAGTTATCAGTGGTAAGGAGAGCAAATGACACAGTTATCAGTGTAAGGAGGAGCAACATGACACAGTATCAGTGGTAAGGGAGAGCAACATTGACACAGTTATCAGTGGTAAGGGAGAGCGAGCATGATACACAGTTACAGTGGTAAAGGGAGGAGCAAACATGAACACAGTTATCGTGTAAGGGAGGAGCAACATGACACAGTTATCAGTGTTAAGGAGGAGCAACATAACAACGTTATCAGTTGGTAAGGGAGGAGCAACATGACACAGTATTATCAGTGTAAGGGAGGAGCAGCATGATACAGTTATCAGTGGATAAGGGAGGAGCCCAACATGAACACCAGTTATCAGTGTAAGGGAGGAGCAACATGACACAGTATCAGTGGGAAAGGGGCGGAGCAAACATGAACACAGTATCAGTGGTAAGGGAGGCAGAACATGACACACGTTATCTGGTAAGGGAGCGAGCAACCTGGACATCAGTTATCAGTGGAAGGGGAGCCCAACATGACACAGTTATCATGGTAAGGGAGGAGCAACATGACACGTTATCAGTGGTAAGGGAGGGGCAGCAAATGACACAGTTTATCAGTGGTAAGGAGGAGGCAGCAACATGACACTAGTTTATCAGTGGTAAGGGAGGAGCAACCATGACACAGTTATCATGTGTAAGGGAGGATCAACATGACACAGTTATCAGTGGTAAGCGGAAGAGCAACATGACACAGTATCAGTGGTAAAGAGGAGCAACATGACACAGTTATCAAGTGGTGAAGGGAGGAAGCAACATGAAGCAGTTATCCAGTGGCTAAGGGAGGAGCAAACATTGACACAGTTTATCAGTGGTAAGGGAGGAGCCAACATGTCACAGCTTATCAAGTGGTAAGGAGTAGGAGCCATGACACAGTTATCAGTGGTAAGGGAGAAGCAATATGACACAGTTATCAGCTGGTAAGGGAGGAGCAGCAATGATACAGTTATCAGTGTAAGGGAGGAAGAAACATGACACAGTTATCAGTGGTAAGGATGAGCAGCATGACACAGTTATCAGTAATTAAGGGAGGAAGCAACATGACACATCGTTATGCAGTGGTAAGGAGGAGCAACATGACAGCAGTTTATCAGTGGTAAAGGGAGGAGCAGCATGACACAGTAATCAGTGCTAAGGGAAGGAGAGCATGACATTAGTTTCAGTGGTAAGGGAGGAGCCATCATGACAACCCAGTTATCGTGTAAGGGAGGAGGCAACATGACACAGTTATCAGTGGTAAGGAGGAGCAGCATCGACACAGTTTTATCAGTGTAAGGGAGGACAGCAATGACACGTTATCAGTGGTAAGGGAGGAGCAACATGACAATCAGTTATCAAGTGTAAGGAGGACATGCATGAACACAGTTATCAGTGGTAAGGAGGAGCACATGACCACAATTAATCAGTGGTAAGGGAGGGGTAGCATGACACAGTTATCAGTGGGTAAGGAATGAGCAACATGAACAGTATCAGTGTAAGGAGGGAGCAACATGACATAGTTATCGAGTGGTAAGGGAGGAGCATGACACAGTATATCAGTGGTAAGGGAGGAGCCAACATGAACACAGTTATCAGTGGTAAAGGGAGGAGAACAATGACACAG